ATCAAATGAGGACCTAGGAGGGCCAATAGCCCAAGCCTCAAATTTAGACTTTTCACCTTATTTCCAAATAAGGTTAGACATTCAGTTATAGAAAGACACAAACAGAACTGAAAGACTTTCCCCACCCAATTTTAAACTTGGGTCCCTTCCAGACCACCCTGTACGGTTACAGGATCATATGAGTAACAGTCGTGTGTCTGTGTGTGTGTGTGTGTGTGTGTGTTTTAACAGCATTGATATGTTAAAATGTAATCATGCAAACTATATATCTACTTTTGTGTTTCACGTCCTCATATGCCAGAAGATTCAAAAATGAAAGTTTTCTGACCTCTTTGGACATCCAAGAAACTGCTGACAGGAATACCAGGTTGTTTTCTGGGAAAACAGGGAATTCCTCCAAAACAGAAGCACCATTCAAAAACCCTCTTCTGGACATTCTGTGTGGAGCATTGCAGTATCATGTGATAACACGATTCCATGCAATCCTCACAATATCCTCTGACATAGTACCCACTTCACAGATGAGGAAAGTGAGGCCGAGGCCAAGTACTCAAGTGCATACAACTAGTAAGAGGGTGAGCCAGGATCAGAAAGAACCCAGTCCTGGCTGACACCAAAGCCAGGTTCCAGCCCCTCTGGATCACCACCTCCCAGAATGAAAACCACCTGAAGGTTTTCAACTCCTATTTAGTGACCTATCAGATATTAGGCTCTTCCCATCGGCCTGTATCGCCCTGTGAACATGAAGGAGGTGAGCTACTCTAGGCCAGCGGTCGCCAACTGGTGGTCCTCGGACCACTGGTGGTCCGTGAGATCTGAAAGCTTGGCGACCGCTGCCCTAGGCTGTCCTGGAGAGGTGAGCTGCGATGGGAAGGACTGAGTGTGAACACTGACGTGCAAGTTTAACGTGAGAGACGTGCGAACTATTGGTAGTTCAGTTACCTGTGACCCTGCATCCTTCCCCTACCTTTATTCCTAACTTATGTCAGACACGGCCATGTTTTAGGTCCCTATTTTACATTATAATCTAGTGAAATAGTTTAGTTATGGCTTATTCCTCAGTTTTTCTGCCTACTTCCAAATAATACCCAAATCCTGTTTCTGTTTCTTTTCCCAATGATCCTAAAGGACAATGTTTTTCTCCAATCTTCTCTCTACACCCATGATGTGCCAAACCACAAAAGCCTAAAGGTATGTGAGCTGCCAGCCCAGGGCTGAGACCAGGTAAAGGCAGAAAAATGGGAAAAGTTGTCCTCAGCACTTACCTCTAGTTGTTCCTGTACAGGTCTCTTCTGTTCTGCTCTCCCTAAACCTCCTGGGCCAGTCTGCTACCCTGGATTCCTAGGAGAGACAATGGTGAACCGCACTCAGCACGGCCAGTGATGAACCTGAGGAGGGGTGGTGAAGGATTAAAGAAAACAGACAAGAGAATATAGCTGAGGCCAGGTAGAACACTGTTCTCAGATGAAGAGACAGTGACACAGCCTGTAAGCTGAGTCTTTATTTTATAGTCAGATCCCACAAGGCAAAGCAAGGACGTGGTCAAGACGTTTACGTTTTCACCAGTTTCGAATCTACTTAATTACATGCACCTGAGAACTCTATCAAGCTTTGTTTTGGCAGCACTTGCTGCACCTCCCACAGCCTACATCGCTTAGCCACCTGGGGCCACAGGTTCGGACCATAAGGTCAAGCTTACAACCATAGCCTTTGGCTATAATTGTGCTGGGAGGGCTTTGCCCTCCAAGCTGGGACCTACACGTGGCTTTGTCACAGGAGGACCGTGCCCTCTCATTGGTCCGAGGCTTGAACCTGTCCAAACGCTGTAGCCACTCTCCACACAATGGTGTTACTAATTCATGGCCATAGGTATTTGTGACTCACTGGTCACTGTCCCTTACCCTTGCAGAGGACTCCTGGAGGGGGCAATGTCTTTGGTAGAATTCAGACACTGCGCACCTGGTAGAGAGGTATTTTTAGAAAGGTGCATTCATTATAACATATAAGCAGTTGTTTGCTCACATAAAGTTATCCCCTCCCGGAGCTAAGTGCTACTTCTCAGAGGATGGCCGGGTAGGTGTCCTCATCCATCAGCAGGATGAGGCAGCCTCAGAAAGAAAAGACATTGAACCAATAGAGAGACCAGATCTCAAGGACAAGTTCAGCCTGTGAAACAGAATAGGGTGCCCAGAGGATTTAAGGCAACAGGGTTAGGAAGTGGTGCAGGCAGCTGTTGACTTCCAGAACATAACACAAATTCACAGACGCATCCAGACAGGCAAGTAGAATAAGGAGGAGGAGTTTCACCCTGGAGAGGGTCACGTGACGAGATTTAAGCAGAAGGTAGGAGCACCAACCAGGCTGGGGAGCAGGAGCACTGCTGAACCCCTGGTGGCCAATGACCAGACCGAGACAGGTCCCCCTCTCTAAAGGGACCAAGGTACCAGGCATGTGTCTGAGTTATCAATTTAGCTCAGAAAATAAGAAAAGACTCTATATCTTAAGTATAAGTGGAGAACCTGGGTCTCAGGGCAAAACCTTCCTGATCAGAGCAGAGAAACAAATTCGGGGCCAGACCTGGACAGAGTCCCACAAACACTCTCTGGTTTGCAGTCAGGATGGAGCCATCCTGGGACTTGGTCCCAGTTTGAAGACCTGAGATGGGGGTCAGGTTGGGCTATCAGCCTGTATAACACTTTATAACACAAACTTAGGAAAAGGCATCCGTCTACACAGAGGTAAACCTGTGGGCACAGCGCTTGGCCAGTGAGCAGCATCTTTGTATGATTTGTAAAAAGATGCCACTCCAGGTGAACACAGACGTGCGCAGGGCACAGCCTCGTGTGTGGAACACGGGCAAGTTTCTAGCCTCCTCCTTCTTCATCAGGCAGTAAACAACCCGTTCCACCAAAGCCAGCAGACCTGGAAAGTACAGTGGCACAACAGTGAGAGAAGATTTATTCTGGAAAGGTCTAGAATCTGGGGCAAGGGAAGGGCTTTTCTTCTCTCCTCTAAGGTATGACCCAGTCTCCTCCTCATACCCTATGGGACATAAAAAGTAAAATCAAGCAGAGAGTGCATTCGAAGCTGATCGACAGACATTTTTCCTCCCAGAAAGGATATGTCAATATGAACTCAAGCTGAGAAATCTGAGGAACTCCAAAATAAATGCTTTGGCAAAAACATATAGACCGTGACTTTCTTTTCATTGTCGAGTTATGTTCCTTCTTTGTTTTTTTTTTTTTTTTCCAGGCACTCCTAGCAGAGTTTTCATTATCTATGACCAAGGAGATGATAAGTTGGACAGATGCACCATTCAGAGGCCAAGTCTCACGCAGCAATTTTTTCTGGAAGTAACATCTGGCTCTACAGCTCTGTTCCCCTTGGAGACTCAGCGGCTGTGGACGTGGCTGGCTGCTTGGCTTGCTTCCCGGCTGTGGAGTTGCATCTCGAGTTGCTTCTGGCATAAGCTGTCTTTGGACATCTGACTTCATCCTTCCACTGCCTCCCCCTCTCCTTTTACGTGAGGCCGACCCTAAAGGGAGTCGGAGCAAGCCCTCAGTAGCCACTGGAAGTGAGACCTGGCTGTGTGGGGACTGGCCTTCCGTACCCATGTTATCATTTAGGAAAGAGGTTAATCCCTTCCATCAGGCTAGACCTGGAGGGTGGGAGAGGGGGGATAAGTCTCTATTCACAGATGAGATGAAGTGAAAAATCCTTTTGGAGAGTAGGGGCTTTTGTTATCAGTGAAGCCTGAAGATAAAGAATGAAAAAGAGGCATAGATATTTAGGAGAGAAAGGAGGGCAACAGTCCCTAAGGGTCCCAGAAACACCTTTAAATGGGAAGAATTCCAGTATCATAATTTGTTTTAAACAACGTTTTCATTTTCCAAATGAAACATACTCATTAAAGAACCTACAGAAAAGAAAAAAAATAATACATACCCAGAGAGAACAGTATTTCTTCCATCCAAACTCAGCCCATGTGGAGCATTTCCTTCTTGCCCTTTTTTTCTCTGTATATTGAATGGGGAGGGGGGGGAGGGGGTGAGTTCCTTTTTAGAATAACCATACATGATATATGTGTGTATAGATCATATGAGAGGGGAAATGAGAGGGGGGGGAACACAGATCAGCCACCTCCAGTACTCTCCCCACCGGATCGACCCTGAAACCCGGGCACGTGCCCTGACCGCGAATTGAACCAGCCACCTTTCAGCGCACAGGACCACACCCAACCAAGTAAGCCCCACTGGCCAGGGCATATTCATGGGTTACAAATTTTACAAGTTTTATCATGTTAATGCTTCTTTTTTAATTTTATTTTTCAATTATAGTTGACATCCAATATTATTTTAGATTAGTTTTAGGTGTACAGCATAGTGGTTAGATACTTATACACTTCTTTACAGTTTTTAAAGGCTCCAACCATTGAGTAGTTTTACCAATTTTCTAAATCATTGTAACATAATTTAGATTCAGGGGACACTTAAGAGACATTTTCAAAGAGGAAACAATCAGTGAAAACGGATTGGATTTAGGCAAAGAGAAGGAAGAAAAAGTTGATGCAAACTGCAAGGTATGCACAGCCTGGGAAACGCAGGGTGACATCAATAGCAGAGATACTGAAGCTATTAGGGGCCTTAGAGGTTGTCTAGCGCCCAACTACTCAAAGTGCAGTCCACGAACCACCACCATCAGCATCGGCTGGGAGCCTCTCAGAAATGCAGAATCTCACTCCAGAATATGCATTTTCAAAAGACCTTTGGGTTGTTCACATGCACATTAAAGACTGAGAACCCCTGGTTTAGAACAATCCCTTCCCCTAACCAGAACAGTGAAATCTTGCCACAGTCACTCAGGGATAAAGTGGTGGGCCTGGTCTTCTTTCTACAGCAAAATGTAGCTGATTCAACTAAAATAATAATGGATAATATTTATCAATGATTATGTGTCAGGAATTATTCTAATTGCTTTATATCTAATTCTTACAACAACGCTATCAGTGTCCCTCTTTCACAAGTCAAAAATAAGATTTAAATAACGTGCCCCGGCCACACAGTAACTGGCTGAACCCTTGCCTCAATGACTGTGTTCCTAACCACTGAACTGGCTGGATGGATGGACAAATGGATGGACAGGTGGACACAACCTTTTGCTGCATGTTAGCCCAACTTATCTGACAAGTATCACATTTAAGTATGTTAGGGACATACTTTAGTATTCCCTGCTTATAGATTTTTCTGTTCTTTCTTATTTACCCACTGGTTTCTTCTCCCAATTCACTCATTCACTCCAGTCTTTACTGTTGTTTATTATCTATTTCAGCTCTGCTCAGGGGATTATGATGATCAAAACATCCTCTTCCCTCATAGAGTTTGCAATCTAGAGGGAAAGACGAGATTAAATAAATAACACATAAACATATATTTACCTTCAAGCAGTGCTCTGAAGGAAAATCACATAGAGCTGAAAAAATGAGGTCATAACCGCATCTTGAAGTCAACCTTCTCTTTTGCTCTACCCCCTCCCTGCCATTTCACACATACTTTACCTTCTTCATCACTATCTCTCCATTCAAACATCAAACTCATTTTGCTAACATCTTACATTCTTCCAAATCACATAACTTCCTAATGCCCTCCCCCCACTCAATTTGGCATCTGTCCTACTTTCCTACTTCAGCTATAATTAATTACCACAATCTTGGTGGCTTAAAACAAAGCAAATGTATTGTCTCAAAGTTCTGGAAGTAAGAAGCCCAAATTAGATCTCCCTGGCTAAAATCAAGAAGTCGGCAGGTCTGTGTTCCTTCCGGAGGCTCTTGGGGAGACTCGGTTACCTGCCTTTTCTAGAGGCTGCCCCTCCAGCCACCAATGGCATGGCTCTGACCTCCACTTCTGTTGTCTCCTTCTCTGAATCCCATTCTCCTGTTTTCTGCTTTCACGCATAAAGCCCTTTGTGATTACACTGGGCCCACCCAGATAACCCAGGGTCACGTCCCTATTTCAAGAGCCATACTTTAATCATATCTGAAAAGTCCCTTTTACCACGTGTACTGGTAACATATTCGCAAGTTCAGGAGATTAGGATGTGGGCGTCTTTGAGGCCATTATTCTTCCTACCACGGCAGACTCATTCAATTTGCCTTGCCCTGTTCCTAGAGTCTGTCTCCATGCATTCCCTTCATCCTATTAGCCACTATCCACTATCTCCTTCTCATTCTTTCCCCTCATAATACACCATGTAATGATTCCAGTAAAACCCAGTCAACAGGAAGAAGGAAGCATGATGGTCAACCTGAGCAATGACTTTTCCACTGGAGCATAACCTTTCTTCTTTTTTTTCAAACAATGCTTTTGTCTTGGATTAGATTTTCTAAAATCCAAAACATCACATTTCCCGGTTCAAAATGTGCCTACAAAACAATAGAAAAGACCATCATTTTTTCCAGGTAATTTTTATAAAGGAAAAAGTTACAGTGCAACAGTTCATTATACTGGTGCAGACAATGGGAAGATTAATGAATATATATCAAAAGGAACTTAAGCTCCAAAAATCTATCCTAAAAATAATTAGGAATGAACACAAAGATGTGTACTTATTTATAATGATGAGTAGAAAACAATCTAATTATTCAAGACTCAGGATTGAATTATTATATTTGTGTAGCAGTTCACTGTGTAACCTTTAAAGTAATATATACTAGCGTGATATATGTAGTACTAAGTGACATGGAAATAGAGTAGTGATACCCATTTTTAGAACACTACAACATGGTTGATTAATATACATGATTATGTCCAGAATTTGGTATTAAGATAAGATAACCACAGGGCTTCATTTTTATTATTATTGTGGTTTTATCTGTGGCTTTCTAATTGCTCCACTACAACATAGGTTACTAAGCAATAAAAAGGCAGGGTTGACCTAGCAGGTTGGCTCAGTGGATAGAGCATCAGCCTATGAACTGAAGGGTCCTGGGTTCAATTCCAATCAAAGGCATGTACCTTGGTTACAAGCTTGATCCCTGGCCCTGGTCGGGGCCCATACGGGAGGCAACCAACTGATGTGTCTCCCTCACATTGATGTTTCTCTCTGTCTCTCCCCCTTCCTTCCACTCTCTCTAAAAATTAATGGAAAAATATCCTCAGGTGAGGATTAACAAAAAAATTTTTTTTAAATTAGAACACAGATTTATTACAAGTAGGGTTTACTGATAAACATACAGATATTTAATAATATATCTGCATTATGTCATTAAATATAATAGTACATTTAATATAATATATCACTGAATATAATATAATGACTGAATATACAATATTTATTTTGTTTTTACTTTTTCCCAGGAAGTTCTTTAAGGCTCCCTGTGTTCACTCCTCATAATTTATCCTACATACAAGAATAATTTTAATTTAATCTGGGTTTTTAGTTGTCATTGTTACCATAGGAGCAAATATCTTTCCTATTCTTCTATATCATGACCAGAAGAAGAAGGTTTTTCTAGCCTGATTCTCATCTATACCCCTGCAATATAGAAACCCCAAGGACAATTTATACAAAAACTCAAGGGCTACATCACTGTTCTTTGGTATATTTGTCCAAATTTGGTTCAACCATACAGAACCTTTTAATATAATCAACAAATCTTAAACACTAGACAGTATAAATAAGAGCCAACTAACAGCTGCTAGCAATGCTGCTCACTAAAATCTACAGGAATTTTACTTTGCCTAAACTGATAAACCACAGTGACAAAAAAAGGGGGGGGGATTTAAAAGTTAGATTTGATAGTGCATGTAAAACTAAGGACAAAAAAGAACTACGGAATTGATGCACACCATATCGAAAGAGACTTAAAAATATGGAACTAGTTGTTGAAAATCAGTAATTCAATACAACTGGGATAGTCCACCTTCAAGATTTGGGAATTTAGCTATACAATTTAGTAAAACCTCTTTAAAATGCCCCACTATGTCATTAATTTGGTTTTTCCTGAGAGTCCTACAAGAACCCATGAATGAGCACATAGAGGGTGTATTTCCCATCAGATAAGAGACCATAGCAGAGAGGTACCATGGCTCTTCTGAGCACCTCCTGATTTTCAAAATCACAAATTCTGACCATTCACTACCAACTAGCCTCCTGGCCTTTTTGTTAGCACCCACTACTACTAGACTTTATTAGTTAGGAATTTTCTCACTTCTTCAGTATAAAGTTACTTTACTAAAATAAACATCTATGAGTATCTACCTAATGCTTAACACTCATTTGCCTCTAAGGATAAACGGGACGTACTCACTACCCTTAAAAATTTCAGGAGTAACTTATCTCAGATTCCCATCTGAGGTCTCAGCTCTTCTCAATCTCCCCCTCTTCCATGCTCCCAACCCCAAATGATCCCCTTACCCAGTGTCCCCAATGAACTTTACTTCCCACTGTTGACTGCCTTCCAGATCCCTGACTCCTACTTGAAACAACTCTGGCCCCTCTACTTTGCTCTGGAGAGGTTCTCTGCTTCTTACAGACTCTGCCTCTGAATCCAGAGGCATCCTAGCCCTAAGATCCAGGTATTTTTATTTAGGGAACATCTCCTGGTCATACCCCAGATGAAGTTATTCCCACCCTCGAGTGCCCTCTAAGACATATCGACTCATTAAGCCGCCTCGTTCCTTGAACACACCCCAAAATGTAACAGAATGCCACAGGAAGCCAGTGGTGTGCATCACCCATTCAAAACCAGACATTCTTTTTCAGCCTCTTAATCTAATCTTCTGCACTTTCTGTCATGACCTCCCCTTAGGGCAGAATGAAAAAGGGAAGACCATAGATCCTATCTCTTATATGAATTTCAGACCTGAATCAGAGGATCTCCTGGGCTATAATTTTCCTACAGTCCTCGGTTTTGAGAAGTGGAACTGCCTAGTATTCGTTATAAATTGTTTAGAAAGATGGTCACAGCAGTAGCTCCATCCCGTATACCTGTTGCAGTCTGAGTTTTCCACTCATAAAGCTCAGGAGCCTCCCCTTAAATCTGCATTGGCCCTCGGACTTGAATCTATTACAAGGACGCAGAAGAAGTGAAGATGTGTGGCTCCAATGCCAGGCTTTCAGGGAACTTACAGTGCCTCTTTCCATGCTCCTAGACATTCCTGGTTGGAATGCTTCCTTAACAACACAGTGCTGTAAGGAAGCCCAAGCTAGCCAAGAAGCCAAAAGAAGAACATCAAGGCACCGCACTTGCAACTCCAGTGGAGCCCAGTCTTGAACCAATCCCTCCAGCTGAATGTAGCCACCTGAGTAATAGAACAACCACCTAGCCAACCCACAGAATCATGAAAAATAACTACCTTTTTGGATCATTGTTATACAACGATAAAAACTGAAACAATATTTAAACCCAATATTTAAAGAACCTGGGTTTAAATCCCACTTACTCTTCCACTCACTAGCTGTGTGACCTTAGGCAAGTTATCCGTCCCCTCTGTGGAGCTAGATGTCCACCCCTTCTTTCACAGTAATACAATTTTCACTGGGTACACAACTGCCCGGCTAGACTACATTTCCCAGCCTCCCTTACATTGAGTGACCATTGACAAAAGAATGTGAGCAGGATAAAGGTGTGCCATTTCTTGATCTGAACCTTAAAGTCATTGGAAATATACTTCCTCATGCTCTCTTCTCTTCATAAAGGACTGGAACATGGATGTGCCCCAAACCTACCTTCACCCAAGCAAATATAGACAATATCCTAGATAATAGCGCAGAAACAAACAAACAAACAAAAAGGAATATGGTGCCCTGAATCAGTATGTGGACCCGACCTGCCCACCAGCCTAGACTCACTAGACTACAACACGAGAAAAATACACTTCTGTGCTTTTAAAGTCACATTGTTATTCAGTTTTTTTGTTATGATATCTTAGTCTTCATCTAACTAATATACCCTCTCTGCCTTAGTTTTAAATAATGCTTGAGGTCAATTTGGAATTAATTGATATTCTTTTCATAAAGGGGAAATGATAGGAACATTATAAAATTATTAGGGTCTTTCAATAATCCCCTACAGGAAAAGTATCTTGCTGCAGTTGAATACTATAAGACAGTCTAAAATAATGTTGTGCAAGGAAATTTCTTATAACTTATTATAAGATAGAATGTGTTCAAGGCTATGAAAAAAATATTTCATGCAATTGTGACTTTAGTTGAAAAGGATTCTAAGAGCATTCAAAGCATCCAACCTACTGTTGGACTAGGATTAGTTGCTCAGATTAGCAATGTATACTTCCAATTTTAATTCTTGACCAAATGAGGTGAGGTTCCTGTTTCAACTTGGCTAGTCAATATTTTTAATTTCTTAAAAGTAAATAAGGCAATTGATTTTTAGCAAATTTGGTATACTAGTTAAGAGATAAAACATACTTTCTATTATGTGGTTCTTTCATTCTATTGTATTTGGGGATCAATCATGAAGATAAATGTGATTAAATGGAACAAATTTTCCCTTATTGTTTTTGACCCAGTGGAGTTCATTTGAGGGTCAAATAACTGGAAACACAGGACTAGGAAGCCAATTTTTATGAAAGAGAATTAAGCACAAATGCTTTATTTAAATATTTATGCTTGAAAGGAATTCTCTCTGAAATCTCATTTAGAGCTGCCCTTATACAGCAAGAATTTTGGTAAACTTATTGCAAGCTATGAACAGATGTGTAACAAGGCAAAATGTGTCCCAATGTTATCAAATGAAAAAACACAGAACTGTACTATTTCACACTAGTCTGCCAAAATTCATAATGGATGACTCACTGAAGTTTATAAAATAAGAATGGATAAAATATGCATAAAGCTTTACACAAATATGTTGTTTTCTCATGTTTTTAATGGTTGCTGCAGAATTTGTGTTAAAATTGATGCTAACAGGCCTGAGAGAATAACCACTTAATTCAAGAATAAAATGAAAATAAGCTCAGTTGTATATTTCTTCATATTTATATGAGTAGGTTCTTGATGTTTTAAGGTCTGTTTAGCATTCTAAGATTGCTAAGTGTAGGGAATAAGAGACAAGGAAGCCTTGACCAGTGTGGCTCAGTTGGTTGGCGTCGACCCATGTACCAGAAAAGGTTGCTGGTTTGATTCCAGGTCAAGGTACATGCCGGGTTTCAGGCTCCATCCCTGGTAGGGAGTGTGCAAGAGACAGCTGATCGATGTTATGCTCTCACATTGATGTTTCTCTCTTCTCCCTTCCTCTCTCTCTAAAAATCAATAAAATATTCTTTTTAAAAAAGGGGGGAGGGGGAGACAAGGAAAAAAGCCAATACCCAATGTTAGGGTATTGAGAATATTAAAATCCACGTAAAGCGGGGGGTGGGAGGGTGCGGAAATAAGGCAATGGAAATGTATGTTAAATAATCT